CAGCCATGCTGGCTGGGGAATTCTGGGAGTTGAAGTCCACTCATCTTAAAGAGGCCAAGTTTGGACAACACTGCTCTAATCACACGATGCATTGAATATGGTTACTAAGCAACTGGGTGAGGTTCATAAGACCATAAACCAACCAGGGTTAAAGCTAATGAAGCTTAGCATGCTATGCATAAGCTCCTATGATGTCTTTACCTGACCTGTTGGATGCTGGATGAATACCACCTGGGAGGGAGGAGAGGGCTAGGTATCGTGCTGCAACTCTTAGCAGACCATATGCTGCAACTGTATAAGTTGTGTAAGTCATGCATATTACCTATTGTGTAGGTAAGGAACTGGTTAATATGCCTGGGATACTCATTTATATGATCATTGTCAGATTGCAGTTCTTTTGGCAGATTAGATGTTCTCGGAAGTCGTCTGATGAGGCCACCAAGAGCATGGGCTAGCTTTATGTGCTGAGTCTTCTATTTATCAGAAATCAGCTGGTGTACAATAGCATTTCCCATCATTCTTTTTTGTGCATACCATTACAGCATCATCAAAAGCTTTTAAGGACTGGCACATAAATCAGCATCAATTACGTGACACTTGCTGGCATTGTGACACATGTACTCTTTCTAGATGGTGTCCCCAAAACACATTAATTTCATTTTTAAAATTAGTATAACAAACAAAAAAATGAGATAGGGTTGACAAATACCACAAGATTTCAAATGAAAATGGCAAACTTTGCAAGATTTAGCTCTCTCTCATGAGTTTGGCTATACAGTATATATTCCAGATTTATTTTTATTTTTCGTACCCACATCATGAACTACTTGCAGTATTCTTGCAGACCACCAGTGGTCTCTGGTCAACAGACAGGGAACCGCTTGTGTGCAATGAGCAAGCCTGAATTTGCATAGGGTTACTTGATGATAGAGAGGAAATTAGTTTACTGAGAATGATTAGTTTCCTTGGGGTTTTTGTATTTGTGGGACAGAGAAAGAGTTGCCTGTTTTAGCAGTGTTAGGCCTGTTGTCTTCAATTAAATTTCAGGTGTTTCTGGTAATCTACAGTATTGCAGTTTGGTTCTCAGGGATTCACAGAGTTTCACTTTCTTCTGTTTCTGCCACGTAATCTTCACTGTATTGTTCTGGGCTGTTGTTTCTTTTTCGGATCTTGAGGATGTGAGGTTATTCCCACATTTGTTTCTGCTCAGCTGGAAGAGGCTGAAAGGATTTTGGCAGAGACTCACTGTCCTAAACTGCCACCTGCAGTCAGATCTGCAACACTGCTGCAGAAAGAAAGAAAAAAAATCGCAGTTCTTTAGCTAAAAAGAGTCTTATGAACATGAATTTGAGTGTAGCAAAATGGAA